TCTGACCAGAATTTGAACTCAGCTCCCTAATTTCTGATTCCAAGCTGTTATAGATAATATGGCCTGCATATCTTTTTACCTTTTATCATTAGATATCAAGAAATATACAGTATTAAAAGTAATAAAGAAAATATTTTTTTTCAGTTTCTTGTCTCTTTGTGAAAATAACATACATATATATATATATATATATATATATATATATATATATATATATAACATTATTCTAACATTAGATTGTCTATGGTGTGTGTATGTCACCACGAAATGTATCTTTATGCATTAGACATCCGACAACATTCATTTTTCTCTTACTTAAACCCCTTCCACCCACCTCTCCTAAAATTCTCTCTGTTAAGGTTTGATCTCCCTCCTCCTCATACCTACACTCTCTCTAAATTCTGTTTTTATTTCCGGAGTTGTTTTTTCTGTTTTCTTTTTAAATTTGTAGGTCTGATGAATTGGATCATATTTACAATTCCAATGGAATAAATTGTGACCATGGAATATTAGTGTTTAAGCCTTTTTTTATATATATATATATATATATATACACATAATAAAGGAAAAAGTTAGAGTTGTCTCTCTCTCTCTCTCTCTCTCTCTCTCTCTCTCTATATATATATATATATATATATATATATATATATATATTCGCCATGTGTCTGGATAAATTTAAAATTCCTGTATTGTTGTAAAATTTTTTGGTCTGAAAAGATGGGATCTGATTGATCTCATGAAATAACTTATTACCATGGATTTCTAAAGTCTTCACTTTCATCATTATTTTTCATATATATATATATATATATATATATATATATATAATATAAACTAAAGTGATTGTCAATTTCGAAATACATGTTTTGTCCCTCAGGACTTCATTGAACTAAAGTAATATTTTGTCTTTTTTTTTTAGCTAATGTTCATGTAATGCAAGACTCAAAAGCATCTCAAGGTTGAGAGTTACTGTGTAATTTGTTGTATGTTTCTCACAAATGTTGACATCATCATGATTTAAATTATGACATTTCAAATGACATGATGAACAGTATATATATATATATATATATATATATATATATATATATAATTTCTTGTTATGTTTTTTATGCTAATGTTCAGCCAATAGAGGTCCCAAATGCTTCTCAAGGTAGAGAGTTACTGTGTGGTGTTGTATGGGCATTAGAAAGGGCAAGAAATGAAGTTCATAGAGCTATGCAAAAAATACAATATGCTAACTTATAGAGGTTACGATTGGAAAAACACAAGTGAATGAAGGAACTTTGAGAGGAAGTGGAAACGCAATCCTAAACAGGGATCAAGCAATAAATATCTACTCCCGTTCAAAAGACCAGGAAAGAGGATAAACTGGATGATAAGCAAAGCTATCTACTCCTATTGGGAGAAAAGAAAAAAAATTAGTAAATAAAACTACAAAGTTCAGATTGAGATGTTAGAATTATAGAGTTGAACTAGACTTAAGGAACTGGAAACAAGGAACAAACCTTTACTCCTGTTCAAAAGACCAGGGAGGAGTGTAAACCAGATGATAGGTGAACCTATCTACTCCTGTTGAGAAAAAAAAAAGAAAATAGTAAATAAAATTTAAGAGTTAAGGCGGAGACATTAGAATTATAGAGTTAAAGTAGACTTTAGAAGGAACTGGAAATACAATCTTAATTTTGCCTTGAATGTCTCCTGTGAGAGTCAAATCTTCCAGGTCTCCATCCTCATCATGTGTCTCAAAACTTCAACTGTTTCCCCTCCCCCAATGCCAAATATAAGCATCCTCCCTGCTTCAACTTTCTCCAAAACATCATTGCCGTCAACATTTCAGTCCTTGGCATGTAATTATATATGCAAATGAAAGGGAGGAGTGATAGAAAAATGCAAACATTGTATGCAGAGATGAGAAATGCTGAAAACTTTTGATTTTGTAGATGTGTTTAGTCAATCCAATTTTATTTAGTTTTTTTATGCTTTTGTTCATGTTTCTGTCATTTTTATTATTTTGTATCCCACATTGTGATAATAGAAGATCTGTCAAGAAAGTTGAAATGTTGTAAGAACCTGGGTGTGAATTTACTGTGGATAGATCTAGTGATTGGAGCACTTGCTATATGCTTTCACCTTAGTAAATTGCTTTCTATTTTTATTGAAGCAGCATTTTTTAAATCAAAATTATGGACTGACTTATTACAATAAGTAACTAATGCATTGAGTGTGTTGTCTTGTAAAAGATTCCTTTTATGTTCATTCATTAAAAATATCATTTACAGTGATAAAAACATAATGTTTTATTTAAATTTCTCAAGATTTCCCTTATGTACTCTTTAAGGCAATTGTTATAGGTGTTAGATTTAATTCCTCATTCATGTTTTAATATATTATTATTATTATTTTATTTTTTTATTAATTAGGTCTCTTATTGCTGTATAAGTAATTGGAACAAATTTTATGTTAAGCTTAGATAAATTCTTTTTGATTATAGTTGTGATAGTGTTGGTGGGTGGAATAATATATACACACACACACACACACACACACACACACACACACACACACACACACACACACTATTGCCTTCCTGAAAAGTTTTTGAAAATTAGTAAAGCTGACATTAGCTATCATGTAAATGTTTTCTCTTTGTGATCCACTTTATGTATGTGTAAATTTACATGCATACACAACCACCCATATATAAATACACACACATGCATATATATATATATAGAGAGAGAGAGAGAGAGTGAGAAAATTAGGAAAATTGATTGAAATCACCTGAAGATACCAAAAGGTTGAAACCAAGGTAGCAGAATCAGCTGATTTCCTAATTTTCTATACTTAAAAGCTCTATATGTTAAATTAATATCTTTTTTATGTGTATTGAGCACTTTTTAATACTACTGGTACTTGGTCTAATTTAACTCTGGCCATTATTATTATATATATATATATATATATATATATACATATATAAGCAAGTGTAAATGGATATAAATCCGACAGAATGAAGAAATTTTGAAAAAACAAACAAAAATCCTTAAATGTAGTTAAAATGGTTGAAAAATGTCAGTAATTTTTAACAATGCTTTAGTTATACACACAACTAAAGCAGATCATAAAACATTTCGATTCCGTGAAAGTATTAAAAAATATTTTCATAATAAAAAAATCTCAGGATTCATTTATGAAGCAGGTATAATATCCATCTCTGCTTACGGTGAATACCAAACCTTTTTTCTGAAAATATTTCCCTTTTTGGCGAGAATTGAAATCGAATTACAAGCATACACTTAAAATTTTAGGTAAAGCATCAATAAAATTACCGACATTTCTTTCATTTTAACTACATTTAAGGATTTTTGTTTGTTTTTTCAAAATTTCTTCATATATATACATATATGTAAAATAAAACAAAACTAATTCAATGTGATGATTCCATATGGTGGAATCTAGGTAGGTAGTACCTGCTTCATTAGGATTTATTTATTTTATTTTTGCTCTACTTAGCATATTGAGCACTCATCATTTTAACTAATTACTTGCTGTGGGGGGGTGTCTTTGTATCAAAAATTTAAGGTACTGTATGATTTATTTCATCCTGTTCGATGGTTTCTGTTACTTTCTTTTTATTCCATTTTTCCTCAGCTGCCAGTTTGTTTGAAAATTGTACTATCCAGGTTTTTCACCCACCAAGTTTAAATAGATTTACATTTTATATATATATATATATATATATATATATATATGTATAATGGCATCATGCTACTTCATCTCAGTTGGTTTATGCTTTTGGTTATGTAAGCAAATTCTGGATAAAAGAAATAACTTTTTCTTTTTACATATCCAGTTTATTAAATCATATTTAAAACAATATCACTAATTTATTCAGTACATAATTTTTACCATTTTAAATATCATTCATCCTCCACATATGGAGGTGATCTTGATTTTGAATCACTGGGGTGTAGGGTGGGTGCAGAGATGTCTAATGAGTCTGATCTTTGCCCTAAAAAATCTGTTACAGTTGTAACATTGGATGCTGGGGGCTGAACCAGTCCAGAATGCAGAACCCTTTAGATTTTTCCTATTCTGGTGTCTTATGAACATAATCACAAGAACTCAGTCTGTTTCTAAAAGATTTCTTGAAATGTAAACTTTTCCAGGTGACATTTTTTTTTCTAGTTTAATCTCTTTATCTTGTTGAAGTTTAAAAAATATAAAACACAAGCATTTGCTTTCAAAATATCACGAGAGATTAACTACTTGATGAAAAGAATGATTAACCTAAATAAGTGCTCCAAAATCATAGCCTTTCACCAGATTAAGATAAACTTTGAGTTGCTCTAGAGCAATGTTTAGCAAGCTTGTCACAGACTATTTATACTGTAGTTTGTTTGATCAATTCAGTATATCTGTAGTCTTTAATATGACTAAGCTAAGCTTGTAATAAAAAAATTAAGTGCTTCGCTATGGAATAATAAATTATACCCAACCCTACAGTTTCTTTCTCACAGATGCAATGTCACAAGCCTCTTGTTATTCTAACACTATTTCCAAAGCAAATGTTCAGATGAGTTCAATTCATTAGTTTCACCAGTTCAGACCTTTACAGTTACAACTGGATCTTCCATCTACACTGGAATGAATCACTCTCATTCTCTTCATATTCCATTTGTAAGAAGGAAGTTCCACTCAGACAACTTCTTCCCAAGAATCACTACTAGATGAACAGACTCCTTCAATCACTACAATCTTAACATCTTCAATTACTCAGTTTATTGATTGATTTATTTATCAACATTGTGTGGGTTATTTAACACCAGAAAATAGTTTTAGATAAACCCATAGCTGGGGGCAGAAAAGAGGTGGAGTCTTACATTTCTCAAGGGTATTTGCGTGTAAGTGAATATAATGAACCAATAGAAATTGTAACTCGGCTCTCTGATTAACAATTCTAAGCCATTATTCATTAAACCACCTGTATACCCAAGCTTACAGCATCTGGTATTCCCAAGTGGTCACTCATGTAGGTACTGACCAGGATCAACATTGCTTAACTTCAGTGATCATATGAGAACCAGTGCTCCAGTGTAATCTGGTCAACTGTTATCTATCCTACATATCCTCATAATCTACACTTACTTTCTCCTTTTATGCCCAGACAGCTACTTCATTCCTCTATCCTAAATAACTCTTTGACCTTATATTGGGTGAACACTTACTAAATAAAAAACAAGAAACTTTTGTTATTTTTTCTAATAACAAATGAAATATTTCTGTTACTGGAGCATTTTAAAATTAAAGAATAAATTTGCAATAAAATTTAAATTTTCATCAAGGACCTTCCTGATAACAACAGCTGTCAACTTGAAATCTGACACAGCCATTTGTTCCTGTCTTGATAGTGACTCTGATCACTTTGATAAGCTGCAATTGGCAATTTCTCTAAAAAAAAAAAATGACCTAAAATCTGTTGTTAATGGGGGCAAGGATTGCCTTGTTTTTAATTTAATGACTCCAAAAAGAAACTTCTCTCTATTAATCACCTTAAGACTCTTTTCTTCTTTCCATCAGCATCTACTAACCTCTATGAGTGTAACATGTGCCTTCTTTAGCTAACATTCTTGGCTGAAAAGAAGTGGAAAGATTATATTGAATCCATTGCTAGTATTCAATAAAGTCAGTTCACTGTTTCATGCTAAACAATTTTTCTCTCCTAAATCTTACATATTTATAAGTTTACCATTAATCCTTGCTTTGAATATTTCTGCCAAATATGGTCTGGTGCTCCTGCTATATATTTAGAGATTCTTGGTAAAATTCAAAGAAAATACATTATTGGTCCTGAACTGGCATCCCAACTTCAGTAACTTTCCCATCACTATAATGATGCTTCACTGTGCTTTTTCTCTAAATAATTTCATGGTAATTGATCAAAAGAACTCTCCTCTATGGAACCTAGACTTCATGACTTTTAAGTGCAGTACTAGATTGGTGGCAAGTCTCATCAGTTCACAGTTAAATTGGCTTGATTTAACCATAAATTCTATGTTAACAGTTTTTTTCTCACACTTGTTGCCTGTGGAATCCTCTTCTGGCTCCATGCTTTCCAGCCAACTTTGATCTTGAAAATTTAAATGCTATGTAAATTGTTATCTACTGTCTTCCTGCTTACTCTTTTATTGTTCTTGCTCCTTAATAATATTTCTCTTTTTTTTCTTATTCTTTCACACTCAGTAACCTTTAGCATCTTAGTGGATTTACTGCCTTTTATGAAGTGATAAGAAGAAAAAAAGCTATTAGGTATATGCAAAATTTTCTAACAGAAAACCATATTTTAGATGTGTATGCTCATTTTTGTCTTGGAACTTAGCTCTCCAATTTCTAGTTCCATCCATTATCCATTACATCACTTGCACATCCAAGCTTACAGTACCTGGTATTCCAAAGTAGACACCCATCTTTGTACTTAACAGGCTTGACATTGCTTAACTTCAATGATCATAAAAGAACTGGGGTTTCTATGTGATAGCACTATAACACATGAATCTGTGTTGTGGGGCAGCATCAGTGAAGTGTGTCAAAAGGGTTGGTATTTTCTTTTCAGAAGTTAAAGCAGCCAAGGTGACTTGGAAGTCACGTCTAAATACTTAGGAACATCCTCAATTGGAGACTGTTTTGTTGCATTGGGTTACTTAACCTGAAGTTATTTTTTAAAAGCAATGCCACCTGCAAGGTTATGCATTGCTTTTATGAAAACATTTAATTATACCTCTTATACCCTTATCAGAATGGGTGTCATAATAGGCATATTAGGCTTAGTGTATTTGTGCACCAGCATCATTTTGTTAATGTACTACACTCTCAGTCAATAATAATAATAATAATGAATATTATACCACTTGTACTGTGTGGTGAAAGAGAATGTCATTTACTGGGAAAAAAGGGCACGTGTTTTCTGTACAATATGCTGAAGAGAAAATAACCAAAATAGAAACAAGTCAGTTGCAGGTGTTGCCATAAATGCATCCTGGATATGCTAATAGTGTGTGTCCTATCCCACCTGTCAACCAATGAAAAAATTGTTCTGGCGATAAAAAGCAGTTGGTTTTCTCAAAAGAAGTCATTTTATTTTTCTGCCTCATCCATTGACTTGCATGTTGATTTCTGACTGTTTACATGTATTGCTTTTTGTGACTTTAGACCAGCGATTTGTGATTTCAACATTTCTTTTTGCATCTGGATCTTTGAGCTTGGACTTGCAATTTCTTTATTTCATTGTGAAATGTAATGCCATATCAATTTTTAGACATATTGTTACCTTCTTTTTTTTTTAATCATTTCACCCAAAGCAAGGCAATAAAGCCACTAAGACACAAGAGGTTACTGAGTGTTAGAAAAACAAAACACTATTAAGGAAAGATAATAATAAAGAACAATAATTATGAAGACAGATGATAACAATTGATATTGCATTTAAATTTCTAAAGATCAAAATTGATTGTGAAGCAAGAAGTTACCTCTAGACATTTCAACTGTAAAATGATGAGACCTAGCAACCAATCTAGTACAGCCTTTAAATTCATAGAGTCTAGGTACCTATGAGGAAAGCACATCAGAAATATTACCATGGAAGTATTTATAGACAAAAGGCAAAGGGAAGCACCAGAAGATTTCATCAAATAATCTATTTCTAAATGTTCTGTTACTATTTCCATGGCAGATTTTTATACAAGCTACATTCCATATTTGCACTAGTCCTGACCATCAACACTAGAATCAACACAGTTGATTCCTACTCTTCCTCCATTGAAATGGTTAGATGTAACTGTAACTTCTATGCTAGCAGTTTCTTCTATTGTACTTTAATTCCAGCTTCTTGCTCCTCTGTCAAATTTGATCTTCAAAAATTTGAATCCAGTGTCAAACATTATCTTCTTAATTCTTGTCCTTTTATTCTCTCCTTAATAGTATATTTTTCTCATATACACTAACACTCGGTAATCCCCTTGTGTCTTAGTGGTTTTATTGCCTTGCTTGGAGTGAAAGGATTAAAAAAAGAAATTCTTGATAAAATTCAAGAAAAATCTGCAATGTTATCATCTCTAAACTGGCATCTTGGCTTCAGTCACTTTCCCACCTTTGTAACATAGCTTCCTTGTGCCTTTTCTTTAAATACTTTCATGGTCATTGTTTTGATAAACTTTCATTTTGGTATGTTGTCTAAGTGCAGTCTAGACTGACAGCTAGGTTTCATCATTTTACAGTTGAAATGACTAGATTAAGGCATTAGTTCTATGCTAAGAGTTCTCTTACACTTGTGAAACTCTCTTCTGGTTTCTTGCTTTTCAGTCAACTTTGATCTTCAAAAATTTAAATGAATCAATCATCACCTTTTGTCTCTTTGAATCCTGTTCCTTTATTAGCCTCTCTCTTTACTAATGTATTTTTTCTCAGGTTCTTTCACTCAGTAAGCCCTTGTGTCTTAGTGGCTTTATTTCCTTACTTGTGATGAAATGATTAAAAAAATGTTCTGATGCTACACCAGGCATGGCTGTCATTGCTTCTGATCTTAATTGATTCTAGATGTTAACATGTGTATGTTTTGTCTAGGGAGTGGGGGGGGGGTTACAGAAAATATTCCGTTCAGTACCTGACAATGATCAGTTGGGCCTGCTACCTCAGAGTTGCTGGCCTGTTATTCTCTCACAGAATAATAAAGGGTATTTAATTAAGACAAATTATATATAAGGGTGTTTCATTAAGAGGTATCAAATTCAGTAGTAAATAAATCAATACTATTGGTGAAAATTTATTTCTATATTGGATCATGTTGTTTAAGTCATGACAATTATGTATGAAAAATAATATCACCCAAATGTCTGCCAAGGCTTTGGCGTCACACCTCAACTCGATAGTCAAAATTTTTGATGACGTCTCTGCATAGTTGCTTCTCAATCTCACCAACATACCTTATTATCTCATCCTTCAGCTCTTTAATTGTTGTTGGCTTGTTGGCATAGATTTTACTTCTGAGATGATCCCAAAGAAAGAAATCTAAAGGCGTCAAGTTGCACAATTGTGGTGGCCAATTGACTTCACTGTTTTGTGAGATGATGCAACCTGGGAACTTCTCATTCAAGAAAGCATTGTTGCATTGGCTGCGTGGCATGTAGTGCCATCCTTTTGAACACATAATCTTTAACATCCATAGCATTCAATTCAGGGCATAAAAAGTTGGTTATCATGGCACAGTATCGCTTGCCTGTCACCAGAAAAGAATTCCCAGCATCATTTTTGAAGAAATACGACCCAATGATTCCGCTAGCAAAAAATGCATACCAACCAGTGACTTTTTGTGGATGCAGTGGCTTTTCAACAATCTTCTTTGGATTTTCATTACCCCAAATGTGACAATTCTGCTTATTAATGAATCCACCAAAATGAAAATGGGCTTGATGACTAAAGAGGAATTTTTGCAAAAAATCTTCATCAGCTTGACTTTGCTTGTGCACCCAATTGATGAATGTATGGTCCTCCAAATGGTCAGCAGATTTCAGTTCTTGTGTTAGTTGAATTTTGTAGAGAAAAATCTTTTGTCAAAATTTGATGTAATGTTGTTCTGGAGAGGTTCATTTCCTGCATGCAATGACGAATAGAGGTGTCTAGATATTTGGCCACATTCTCATGCACTGGAGCAATGTTTTTAGCTGAACGGCGTAAACGAGCACGCAGTAGTGTTTTCACATCTGCCACCGACCCAGTTTGTTTGAATTTATGAACAATTTTTCAATTACAATCTCAGTTGGTCGCTTATGTTGGCCAAAAATCACGAAATGTGCAAAATGCAATTTTGTAATAGGATTTGATAACTTTGACATGTTTGATTGTTAATCTTTCCATGGTTGAAATTGCCAACGACTTAAGTTGTAAAATCTGAAAGAAAATGAAAAAAATCAGGAGACATTTAAACTTAATTCACATTTAAAATCGGTCCAAGTTATTGGAGCACCCTTTGCTAACAACATTTTGCCAAGAAGAGAATAAATCCAAATGTGTCAGTTCTATACACATAATGAAAAGTCATGTTA